AGAGGAAGTGAATTGTCTTCAAAAACTTAAAGAAGTCCAGTAGTCACCTTTTAAGGCTCTTAAGCCTCCCTGAGCCTGGTTCAGCTGGAGGTTTTCTTCTGTTAAAAGGGTGTTTTTCTTTCCCACTGTCACCAAGTGTTTGCTCATAAGGGGTCTTTGATTATTGGGGTTTTCTCTGTAGTGTTGTCGGGTTACCTTATAATATAAAGTGTATTCAGGCGACTGTTGTTGTGATTTGGCACTACATAAATAAAATGGAATTTTATTTATTTATTTATAAATGAGACAGTTTCGGAATGTGAATCCTAAGAAGTGGCCACCCTGCAAAAATCTCTCTGAAAGTACTATAATTAGAGTGACAGATTAAAATCTCTAGATGTAAATCACTGACTGAAGAAGGTCGTTGGAAAGTTCTAAAAAAGCTGCTTCTTGCCTAAATTGCGGTCGTAAGACTCTGCAGGGCTGCAGATTTTCTTCCATTTGCACTCACCAAACATTCCTGTATTTCCAGCTGAAAGGTCACCGTATATTCCTTCTCCTCTGGGTCGACCTTCATCGGAAACCAGACCATTTCTCTCACCTCCTACGTTAATGGATGGACCACCTGCTCGACTGTCTCCCAGAGGTAAATGCATTTAAAGGTGCAGCTAGCTGCAGCAAACACATACACGAAGCATGGCCAGATCCTTAGAATGACACACAAACACTACAAATATAAATATACTTGTAATAATTTTATTCTTACATAATTGGGAGAGTACATTTTCTCATTCATACTCATAAATGGTGTAGAAACATGCAGCATGTTGGGGATGACCAGCTGACTATAGCATGACAAACTGCTGAAGCATTTTGTTGCATGGTCTGTGCATGCTAACAGCAATCTTGAATGCACAAAAGACAACAGAATATAATATGACGAAATCTGGACTTACTGTCATCACCGTCTCTGGGCGTTTGCTCTGCTTGTTCTCTTTCTTCTTCTGTGCCCCTCTCTCTGTCTGTCACTCTTTTGTTTTGTTTTGTTTTTCGTCTTCTTCCAACAATCCTTTCCTGCACAGTGTCTCGTGGTCCAGGGGAGCCCCCAGGAGGCCAGGGGGAGATGGAGCGCAGTGCAGGTCCTCATTCAGACAGCGGCTCAATCTCTCCTACCTGGGAGAGAGATCGCAGAGGACCCCCACCAGGACCCTTACCAGGACCACCTGGGCCTTTAGGACCTCCAGGTGTGTATTCATATGTGAGAGAGAGAAAAACTGGAGAGAAGCAGACTGTTACAAGTGCCCACACAGCCAACATCTCACAGATTATCAAGACAATGTTTAGCAAACAGAAACGAAAGGCCAAAGTTTAAAAAAATGAGGTCAGTGTAAGTATGAGTAATCCCTGTGAGACCTTAAAATAGCCACATGGAAGCCCCCTGTGCACCTATTCAAACCTTTTTTTTCAAACCTTTTTTTTTTCCCCCTAGCATCTCCATTAGGTGATAGTAAAACTAAGTTGTCACTGCATGGATGACATTCCCCTGCAATGGTTCCAGCACTTGCGTATGAAAAGAATGAATGAGTACATGAATACACAAATATGAATAGAAGTTAGTTGATATTCAACATAGTTGTCATGCATATTATTACTGTGTGCATGTGCATCTTGCATTTTAAATATAAGTATAGTGTGTGTGTGGGGGGGTGTGTGTGTGTGTGTGTGTGTGTGTGTGTGTGTGTGTGTGTGTGTGGGGGGGGGGGCTAAAGCATGTTGATGTTGCATGTTCATTGTCTTGAAAGCATTTTGAGTTTTTACTCTGGATGCTAAAATTGTCCCTGTGATGAAAGTATTTGTACAACGTATTACTACATTTCTATTTCCAGCTCTTATATGGTAAACCTCAGACACTCACTCTATCCTCTGTTTTCTGAATGTCACCACAGATTTAAGATTTGTGTAGCAAATGTCTTCTTACTATCCATCGCTCTCTTCTTCAGGCTATATGTTTCCAGAACCAGGAGCTCCCATGTACAGAAGACCTCTACCTCCTCCAGGAGCTCTGGGCCTTTTGCCTCCTCCTGACTCTCTCCCTCCTGGCGTCCTTCCCCCTGGTGTCCTCCCACCTGGCGTCCTCCCTCCCGGCGCCCTCCCTCCTGGCGTCCTCCCTCCCGGTCCACTCCCTCCTCGTGCCCTTCCTCCTGGTCCACTCCCTCCTGGCTCCCACCATCTTCGGAATGTTCCTCCAGGACCCTCTCACCCTGCAGACATGCCAGGTGAGTTCCTGCTCTCTCTTTTTTGACTCTAAATGGGTAAACTTGGACATGTAAAGAAAAGCAATCCTCCTTAGCATGTGCTGAAATGCACACGTGACCCTCATATTTCTGTTAATTCACTAAATGTTTTATCAATGCAGATTCCTACAGAGAAAACAGCTTTGGACCTGGTGAACAGGACCATAGAGAGGTAAGTATATGCGTCTGTGTGTGAATACTGAGTACTTATTTGTGGCTCAGCCTCTCTAATCTTTTTCTGTCTTCCAACAGTCCGGTCCTGAACGCAGGACTCCCCCTGAAGCAGATCCAAGGATGGGTCCACCAATGGGTCCCATGGATGGTCCCTTTCCTCGCAGAGCCCCTTATGGACCCCCACCTCCTGATTTCTACTCTCCCAGGGGACCTGGGGGACTTCCCATCAGGCCTAGTAGGAACTTTCATCCGTCTTTGCACCTTTAACCATCTCCAGATGTCATTATTGTAAACTTGACCTTTCCATTTTTTTCCCCCTTCAGTGTGGGTTCCTCAACCTCCGGGAGTGATGGCCCCTCCTCGATACCATCCTAGTGGAGCTCCCCTTCCTGTTGGTCCTCATCCTCACATGCCCTCCTATGCTCCCAATATGCGACCCCCTTCTCCCGACGGCCACCCACCTTCTTCCATGGGCCCTCCCCCACCTCATCAATCCCTCCCTCCCGCACCACAAAGCCAGTCTCCAGAGAACGCAACCTCACCTGAAGACGCCATTTGAGCCTGACTGAGTTTCTACATCAGCTGTGAGACGAAGAACTTCTGGTTAATGTTTAACGTGGACAGTGTAGGGCAGATTGCTGGTTACCCTTTTTCCATAAATATCTATTTATTCACCAGAAGGATGTGTTTATTGAATAGTGTTTGCAGGGGAGAACATCCTCCTTCATTGGCCTGTTTTCTTGCTGCTTGTTGTCCAATGACATTATTTCTTACGTCTTTGTTATTCCCTCACCTGTTTCTCTCACCATTTACATTCTCTATGAGGAAGCTGATGTTAAAGTAAACTCGGCCTGGATTGCGTGTGTCACATGACCCAAAAACAGCTGCCTGTCGTCTAGTCAGCGTCAGAGGTTTTTGATGGGAATGCTTCACCGAGATGAAGGAGAGATTTGAATGATCATAGCATGTCTGTCTTGGCAAAAACACAACTAGCCCTGAAATAGTTTTTGTCTGTCATCATCGGTATAATTTAAAAAAAATGTAGCTGGTTAGCATCTTGTCCTTTGATTTTATGACACTTCAGTCCGAACACGTTAAGCCTGGTTTTGCCTGCAACTGAGCTGAGTTGATCTTGAACTCAAATGAGACTGCTTTTGGTGAAATGTGTCAGTTGCATAATTGAATTTCACTGACTTCCCTGTGGGAAGTGAGATATTTTTCTTCTTATTTCACAGTGAGAGAAGCAGTTGAACAGTGCTTTTGATCATGTTACAGTGACTTTAATATGGCCTAGACTTTGAAAAACGTGGCTTATAATAGCTGCTCATGTTTCCCTGAATAAACAGTCACAGGAGTAAGTTTAATAGACTGACTGGAACAGAGGATACCTTCATGTGAATTTTGTAAAAAGTGATTATTGCTAGATTAATAAAGACTTGAATTGTCAGTGTCATCATATTTACTAATGTAAGTTGTTATGCATACAGCTGTAAAGTCATCAGGAGAAACAAAACATTAAAATGTAACTATTTTTTAATAAATTTTTAAATTGTTTTGAATTTGACACTTCTGAAATTGCAAAATATACTTTGATTTATTTTAACGTTGACTGTATACAACAGTTTCTCAACTTCTGGTTATTTATCACATGATACATTTCCAGAATATTTTAAAGATGCTCAGAAAAATCTGAAAATAAAGGTTTACTTCTCCAGCTTCAGTCATAATTATGCAAATTTCTCCCTGTAAATATACAGCTTAAAAGAAAGTTTCTGTCAACATTAAACATGTAAAACTTGAGAAAAAGATCTGCAAGCTCATTACCCAGACTGTCCTATAATTAAAGTTTTAATAGGGGGTTAGAACTTTTGTCATTTAATTGTGTATCTCTTAGTATGAATGAAGTCTTTATCAACTAAAACTTAAAATGCATTTAAATGCCTGCTAGTCCTCTGCCGTGGAACTTTGAATCAACATGTTTTGATGCTGTAACTCAATCTGATGGAACTTCTTTTGCTTTTAGGAGCTAGTGTAGCCTATTTAATATATTGCTACACAGTATTTGTGTGTACAAATTATTATATTACAGAGGCATATTTATTTGGATTTACATTAGCTCAGTCAGTTACATCGAGTAGATTTGAGACATGGGAAAAAAAAAAAAAAATTGCAGGGCCTGCCTGCCACAACTTAAAAACAGTAGAAGGATATACAGTTACTAAATAGTAACTGTATATCCTCTAACCTGTTGTAATCATTAGGTAATGTAGGAGAATACTGCACGTTCTTCTGAAAGAGGAAATACATCTGCTCTATTATTTTATTAAGAGTACACAGTGTATACTTTGAGAGCTCGACAGGTTTTTTCCCCATTTAGTTCCTGCATCCATTGCTGCTTCCTTTTAAAGATGTGGAAGCACTCTGTGAGCTCCGCTGCAGAAAGTTGCTAAATATTTCATTGGTATTAATGAAGCAATCAGTTGCAAAGATGCGAGGCTGAAATCGAGAGGAAGTAGCTCTGCCGACAGCGCTTTCACAAAGACGCCTAAAGGACACGTTTATAAAACAACTTTTAATTGTAAAATCATCAACATGATAAACAAGAAAAGGGCAAGTGAAAACCTATTGTCCAAACTTTTGAATATTACATCCCCAGAACCTAAACATAAAAAACGATGCTATCAAATGGCAGTTTTGTTTCATCATCAACCGTGAGATGACTGATTAAAGGATTTTGGTGGTTTAACTCCCCCCCACGTACAATTAACATTTCTGCAGGCTTTATAACAACGAAACAATGCCAACAAATTTGAACAACCGTGCCAACCACTAAGTTACCTAATGGTGTTCATAAAGATGCCAGCATTTACACGTTCATGAGGAAAAATGTGAACTGTACTTTGAAGAGCATGAGAGAGAGAAAAGAGGTAGATGTGAGAGAAGAGGATGCAACACCTGCAGAATGACAACATTAGCACTTTAACTTTTCATGTGCTGTTTATACATTACATTTAGCCCTCACTTAAAATAGTCCACCTTCTGTTCTTTATATCCACTGGATTATGCTAAAATAACCAAACAGAATTTAATGAAACTTTCTGGTCAGTCTCAGCACAGATCTGGCTCACTTCCTTCAAAGTAAGATCTGGTATTGGTGGATAATTCTTTCAGCACATTACAGAGACCGCTGTTTTAGCATTCCATCACTACAAGCCAGAGGAATGTGCCTTGACTGTCCATAAACACTGTACTGTATGAACAAGGCAGACTGAAAAGAAAAATGCTTGTTTTTACTCTTACACTAATGACAAAAAGTCTTTGTAAGTCAGCTGTATTAAAGGCCAAAAAACAGACAAACAAAAAAACCCATATATTTTATGGCATCATTGATGAACTTGTATTCTCCCCCCACTTAGTCACTGGAAGCCTGAAATTTGAAAACCTACAGCAAAACACATGGTGAATCTGAAGTCAAACCAAGTCCTTGACCTTGTTGAGCACAGAACGATTGATTTCTTTACCAACCAATAATCGACACAGAGTTTGCAAGCTGTAAAAAGTCAGACTTAATGTGAATTTGATGCTCGGCTGAAATGTTTGCTTAAACAAATGACTCATTTTCATACTCCCGCCCATTTTACCAGCATAAGCTCACCAATTAACTCACTCAAGGCAACCACAATGTGGAGCGAGGACACCAACCTCACCGAATACGACCTTTGAGAAGCATTTAAATTTTTAATGAAGGCCATCTGTGCATCCGAAAGTGAATGGATGTATTCAAAATCTAAACACTGACTGAAAAGCATTTTGAAGGAACAGGTTCAGTGATGCTTAAGCTGTAGCATCAATGGCTTTTACGCGCTGAGCCGTTTTCATAACATTTAACATGAGATGTTTGTTTTAATTGTTGTGGTTTTCTTAAACTACAAAAATCTGTGTCGGCTGAAACCGTCTACAGAGCCTGAGTGTGAAATAAAGCAGCAATACCCAAACATACGAGCGGTGATCAATAATGCTTCCGTTCCTGTTTATCTATTAAAGTCTTGATGGTTGGCAGGAGAGGCAGCTTGACCAATCATCTCACAGACAGGTGGAATCACTGTCAGCTGAGAAGTGCAGAGGATTCTGTGAAGACTGAGAAATGTCCTGCTGTGTGCGTTTTTATGACTGCAGACCTGAATGCCACCATGTGTCATGTAGAGGTTTCCGTGTTGGAGGTCCTTGAGGTGTTTTTTCCTATGCGGCTGCTTGTGTGGGTGTCTCAGCAGTTTAGAATGGGCCTGCTTCTGTCAGGTCTGAATGGGAACGCAGAGCTCTCAGAGTCAGATCTCCCTCTGTGAGGCCCGAGCGTAGCCACGGCCTGGGTGAACACACACATGATTGTTAAATGTTGCCTAAACACACAATAAACCACCACAAAGAGACAAAGATAAGAAGATTTTTGCATTTCTGAATTTTGTGCCTCCTCATCCTTCTGCCTATGACTTGGAAATCAATCTCAGTACATATTAGATGTCTTAATTCCTAAAATGCTTCTGGAGGAGAGGGACGTACTTTGTAGACAGTTGTTGCTTCAATTTCTCAAGGTGAAAACTGATGAGGATTCCAGATGTGCCACATGTCACATTATGAAAAGATGGCTCACAAGCAAGAGCCTCAGGAGAGGAGGCAAGAAAAAGGAATCAGGAATACACAACCTGAGAAATAAGAAAGAGGGTGGAGTCCTGCACATTAACACATACCTTCCTGATCGCGGTCCAGTCCTCTAGGATGTCCAGATCTGGTAGCATGTAGACAATATATGGACGTAAGCAGAGTTAAGGACAGTGACTGACTGCTAGAGCAGGGATGAAATGTAATCAGACACATGGCTACAGCACAAGTAGTTAAGTTATTTAGGAGTAGAATCATTATGAGCAAGAGTAAAGACATTAGAAGGATATCAGACACCACCGACGGGCGTCTCCTCTTCTTATCTGGACTTAAAGCATCTCGCCTCTTCTTCCTTCCTGACAGCTCATCATTCCACAGCTCTGATAGAAAAATAAAAACAAAAACAAAAACTCAAATGTTTTGTCTTTGCATTCATTGTAACGTGACTTCCCGTATATGGTGGGAGGGTACAAACGTAATCAAACAACGTGAATGACTGTGTTACCTGATGTAATATCAATGCTGTGCCTGTCCTCCTCTAGTCTTCGGATTTTCTCCTCCAGCTCATTCTGCACTGTATCAAACAGCAGCAGCTTCTCACTCTGCACACACATAGTCAAAATAACACATAAAACACATAATCATACACACAGACTGGATCAATTCAGTTTTATTTATAAAGCGCCAAATCACAGCAGTAATCACCTCAAAGCCCTTTATAATATAAAGACCATATAATAATACAGAGAAAACAATTGCATTATCACATATCTAAATAAATGAAAAATAGTTTGGTATATTAAGCTGTGTGTCCAACCTCCCAGTGTTGACATGCTGCCTGGATCTCACAGTCGTACTTGTTCTTCACAGACTCCAAACACAACTCTCTGTAGATACCTGCCAAAGACGGAGAGATACACACAATATCCAAATGAATAAAGAGATCAGTGTGTCAAAGAACTTGTGCTATTACTAATACCACCTTTATTTGAAAGGGCGTGTCAAAAAAAAAAAAGAAACTTGTTTTTGCACGTTCCGAGTAATGACACCATCTCCGTGCTATCTAACTTAACCTGGGCCAGCGCTTTTTCCCAAGAGTCTATTTAAGAGGTCCTAAAACACCACTTCAGTGCTGAGGCCAGATGCAAACAGCAAAATTCAAATTCACCACATCGTGTGATTTCTCACAGTGGGGATTTTGCACTTGAGGATTGCTCCACATTTCCATACTGTGACTTAGATAGCATGCAAAAACTGGCTAATGTAAATCTTTACATAGTTAATAGTTGATATATAAAAAAAAATTCTGAATGGATGCAATGTATATTTAAATTAGGCTACATCTTGCCAGCAGTCTGATATGCACCAATGCACAGGTTATTGATTAAACACACCAACAGCAGTCTTCCTTATTAGAATGCTGCTTGTTACTAATTTGTTGCAGGATGGACTTGCATTATCCACTAGATGTATTTTGCCTATGTGTACTTTAGACAGTGTTTCCTACAGCCACTTACAGCCATACAGTCACTGACCATGTTTGATTAAATAAATACTGTTTACTCCTGGATTTTAAATTGAAAACAACACGTTGGCTTACACACTTTTTCTATAATTACAAAAAAAAAGGCACACAAAATGTGTTTCTGCAAACCTTTCACTTTTAATTCATGTTACTAGGTTACATGTCAACTTTCTGCAAATGCAAAGCAGGCAACTCAACACCCTGCTGCACAAACTGCAACTCTACCAGAAGGCATTGCACAGCTGGCTACATAAACAACAAATGAGAGTGTGATGTGAAGGTGTCTATGCGTTTAAGTTACCTGCCACCTTGGTGCGGACCTGCATGTTCTCCAGCAGTACTGCCAGAGGCTCCAGATATTCTGCCGCCCGGCCAGCCTCCACCTCTGCCAGCTTGCTGTTAACCTGACTGAGACGCTCACGATACAACCTGTACACAGACGCAGGAGTAAATATGGATGCAACTCACTGTTATATTACTTTCCTAAAACAACTCCCATTTGAAGCAAAGAGTCAGTCTTACTGGTCTTTGAGATCAGTGAATTGCTTCTCCAAGTTGCACATTTCATCCAGACACTCCATTCTTCTCCGCTCACAGTCCTCCTCATCCATTTCTAGAACAGCATACAACAAACACACCTTTGGTATGAAACTAGTCTTTGATGGAAGACGGGAGCAACTCGGTGGCTATGTAAGAAAACTCTGCTGAGTAGGAATATAATGATATTCAGTTGAAGCTTTGACAACTTTGTAAAATCTGATTGATTCACTCAAGTATTCATTTTTAATGACAGCTGTACAGGAATGTTCTGCTCATGTCCTGTGGCCAGTATTTCTCACCTGAGCTGTCTCCATCCTCAGAGACAGAGGAAGTGTCAGAGTCCTCCTCCTCTGAGCTTGATGCCTCCTGCTCATGTTCCTCCGCCTCCATCTCCTCAGCTGTACTCTCCTTTTTCTCCCGGTCACGGTGCAATGGCATGACTCTGCGTCAGGTTACTGGTGTGGGACAGAAACATAGCCAGGTTGTTTTGCCAGTTGCACATACAATATTCAATTATTTGTTAGGCAGCAGGACTCCTATATTTTACTGATGGTAGTCACTCTCTTCTTCACCTCTTTTGTACACTGTTCATTGCTCTGGATGGTTGACCCCGGTATTTAAACTCATGTCCCCTCCCTACCTCTCCTCCTTGCTGCTTCACTGTTACACCTCCCTCACCATGATCACACACTTCTCTGCCACCTCTGACTTCCTCATGCAGTACCGCAGTTCCTTTCTTCACATCCTACCATATGTTTTCTCTAGATTATTTAAAACACTAAGGGAAATTACAAATCAGCATGCCACAACTAGTAGGTTGATTAAAACGTTAATAGTTCAGTTGCTGCTCTGATTGATGCGCTCGTCCCGAATTAATTAAATATCACTAACAAATGTATTGCTAAAGAACATCAACTCTGTTTTTTCCTGCTAATAAAATTATATAACTTCTTAACTTAGAATTATTTCTGGGTTTTTAGTTTGATTACGTCCTTCATATATCCAGCGATCGTTGATCAACCAGGTGATTTTTTTGACTCACATTTACCTGTGTAATATTCAGCTTAACTAAAGAAGCTAATAATGTGGGATATTTGTTTATACTGTTCGTAGTGAACGACTTCTCATACACATTTTTCTTCAGTTAACTGTTTTTAATGGTGGAACTTGAAAAGTATCCTCAAGGTGTTTGAATATTATAGACAATAATCGTACACACTATTTTATTGCTTATGCTAGTTTATTCGCTAAGCTCTCCCTAGCTTAGCTTTGAAATTATTAACTTATTCAAAAAAAACATTACACGACAGCAGTATTAGCATTTCCTTAGCACGTTAGCAAGAGAATATAGTTAAGTAGCAAGAAAAACTATCACGGCTTAATTACAAATATATACAAACAAGCAAGCTTTAACTGACTCACATCTTACAAGATAGGTGGTACTTTGCAGGATGTGTTGGGGAAAAATGTTTTCGGAGGGGAAAAAAAATAAAAACTTGTCGTTATACCTCAGTTACGATTACACTCGTGTGCTCCAGCTAAGCTAAAAACAAATCTCTGCAGGACGCCTTTATTTGTTTTGGGAATTGTAGTTTTCTTTATCTAGAATAGTCTAATGAATAGAGAACCACTGTGGAAGCTTAAACTACATTACCCATGTTTCACCGCTCTAGCTTGAGGCGGAGAGTTCGAACAGAATCCTGCACGTTTAAAACATTAAAAGATTAAAATCCACGTATGTCCAAAGTATGTAAGGTCTGTGTGATATTTATGACAAACGGGATAGAGATTTTGCTTATTACTGTGGCATTTTTGCGTTGAATTTATCTGCTATCTATTATTTTGTTTCCCCCCCTCCCCTCCTCCGCCATGATGTTTTCTAACTAAGCAGCTAGTGACTGTTGTGGAGAAGGGAGGTGCAATGGATGGATGCGTTGCCCCGCTACGCTGTACATATTTGTCTTAGTTTAAAGAGAATGAGCTTCTCTGATAATTTTTTACCCGTAGAAATACTCCACGCTGTTGCGGAGGGCTGCTAATGCTCCGGGAGACACGTTTTTCGTTATAGTTTGAAGATTAGCTGGCTACACAGGCTAGCTCCTCCTTGCTGTCTACCATCGCATTCTTGCGTCTCCTGCCTCAGGAATGTTTTCCAAAAAACCTCATGGGGACGTTAAAAAATCCACACAGAAAGTGCTGGACCCAAAGAAGGACGTGCTGACGAGGCTCAAGCATCTCAGAATAGTCATAGGTGAGTTGGAAAGCATTATTAAAGGGCGAACAGCTTAGCTTCTAGATTTCAGTTTACTGCCTTGGTGCATGCCACACCAAACTCAAGTCAGAAAATCTCCAAGTTCAAAGTTGACTCGATTGTAGAGAGACACGCCGGATTTCTTTTCACAAACCAGAACACAGAAGAATATTTTGAAATTGTCTCATTAATTCGGCATCATGTCCGTTGTCTTTCATCAAACATTTTGTAAGGTTATATTATTTTTTCTGAATTGTTTATCTCTGAAGTCATAGTTTCTCCCCCTTTTACCGTCAGAATGATGGATATGTAACTCTCAATATACGAAGTGAATTTTAAAGGAGCCTGGCTGCTTCTGCTGTCGAGTTAAAGGGGAAGCTTTAAGGCTGTTATTTATATTGATTGTTTAGCAATACCATTACATCGTCAGATTTATGAATGGAGTTTGGCATAGGGTGTTTGGATAAAATAAAATCAGGTGTGATGCGCGTTGAACATCTAAACAACCTCAGTGATGCTTCAGGCCATTTGCCAGGCTTCTCTGGTTGCTGCAGGGGCGTGCCTGTGTGACTTTTGGGGAAAGGCCTGATGTGTGAGAAATGCTGAATGTTTTCTTAACATGTGTTAAGATGTGTTGCAACACAACACCACATTCAGGGTTATGAATGCGTGGGAGAATAAAGGAAGATAGCAGGGTATTAAAGTGATGGATGAGTGTCTTTCACTGACACACTTACTCCCACACCGACCAGAGAGGGAAATAGCCTCTACTATTTCCTCTCGGTGTCCAGTACAGTAGCTCGGCTTCCTGTTTCTATTGTAAAAGTTACTGGTGTCTGTGTTTGTGTATGTGTGTGCAAGACAGAAAAGGAAAGGGGTGTGCCCCCTCCCTGTTCTCTATTGGGAACACAGGACCATGATAAGAGGCTGAGACATAAACACACTTGAAGTGAAATGGTCTGAAAGGAAGCAGATGACTGAATAATGGCTAAAGACATGTTTTGCAGTCAAGTTGCCATATGAAATGAAGAAAGTGGTTTTCATTTGCACAACACTGAAGAATTGTTAACTGCAGCAGTTAAGTATTTGTTCATGTTGTTGTTGTTGTTGTTGTTCCAGCCGTTGTGGGAAGCAGACAGGAGCACTAAGACTCTTGAGCAATTTTTAGGTTTTCAAAACTGGTCACACCTATTATGGCATAATGAGTAAAAGGAGCTGTTGCACTGCTATGCAATCAGGTTAATAAGCAACTGTTCCCAAATCCCTTTTGGCTTTCTTCATTCCAGACCCCCCTCCCTTTACATAAACGAGCTTTATTTAAAAAAGAAACCTGGTGATAAACTCCTCAGTTAAAACCAGCTGTTCTACTATTCTAATAACTTAACTACAGATGAACAGATGTTTACTGTGAGTTCAGTAGTGGTCCAGTCAGACTTTCTCATACAAGGCAAGAAACAGTGTTCAGATTATTCCAGTTAAGTCCTCAGAGTGAGTCATGAGTGATTTTTTTTTTTTTTTATGTATTTGTTATTTTTTACTCGTGTCTTGATGAAGAAAGTTTTGTTTGTTTCATTTTATTCAAATTGATAAAAACTTTTCTCTGTTTAAAAGTCCAAAAAGGATGTCCAGATGATGTTGAAAGTTTGATTTTTCACAAAATGTAGTTAAATGGACAAAATCAGATTTAACTTGCAGCGTACTGTGCAAACATCCCGAGCCACTGTCCCTTTCTTTATATTTTGCTTTTTTGTATTTTTTTTTTTTTCTAAATTTGGTCCTGAGGTAAAGTTTTGCAGGCTTTCTAAAGGTCTTTCAAAGTTGTTGTTTTTTTGTTTTGTTTTCTTTTGTTTCCTTAAAATTGGCTGCTTTTTCACCCATTTTCAGTCCAGTCTTTGTTCCTGGTCATTTTCATATTATGGTTAATGTCACTTAAAACTGACCTGCAAACCTTCAAGCATTACAAAGGGTACTTAACTCAAGGGATGAACTTTGTGTCTACACAAAACAGAAAACTTGGCAAAGAACCAATTTTAAATTGTATCTGTAACAAAAACACATCATTTCTTCACATTTCTCATGTCGAAGTTATAAAAATGCCAAAGATAACACAATTTTACAGACTTGTAATAGGTGTTTGGATCAGTTCATCTGCTGTGTCCGAAAGCCTGATTAGAAGTCAGCTCAGTGGAAGGGTGGGTGTTAAGAAGCCAACTGAAAATCAGCTGCAACAAGTCTGATGGTGTGATGAATCCAAATTTTTTTATTTTTGCTTCAAGTCATTGTCATTAAGTATGCAGGAGGTCATGAAAGATGTACAACAATCAGCTTCTGTAGCCATCTGTAAAACACGATGTAGGCTGTGTCATGTTGATAAATAATAGACACAGAAAGGTGCCATCAGATCCACCATTGGATTGGCAACAGTAGGAAATCATATCTGGATAGAAAAACACACAAATAAACATTATCAGTCATGGATTAGCCTCGCAAAAGCCTGGACCTCAACATTATTGAACCACTGTGGGATCATCTAAAGGTAGCCAACATCCGAAGAAGAGCTTTGAATGTCTGTCAAGAAGTCTGCAGAACTATTCCTAAAGGCTACTTAAAGAAGTTAAAAGAAAGCTGCCTCAGAGCGTTCAGACTGTGTTTAAGAATAAAGGTGGTCGTGCCAATGTTGACTTTCAAGCTCATTAAGATTCTGCAAATATTCAAACAATGTGTTGACTATCCAACTAGGAGTAATGCATGAACGATAACTTAACAAGCAGCGAGGAGAATTAAAGTTTAGACAGACTGGGAAAAATATTAACTTGAAGCTGTACTGCATTGGTGCTCCATCACACATTAACTGATGTCCTCAACTAGTGCAGCCACTTTACAGTCTGTAGTAAGAATCTGTAAGGTAATGAGACTGTGTGGCATTACTTAACAGAAGCATTTTTGTTATACAAATGTTTTTAAGGAAATGGAATGGTTCCTAAAAGCTGATTTTGTTTATTTGTTTTAATATGCCATTTAATTGCCATACATTGCAAGGAAAATTCTTAATTAAAAAAACAATTCCTAGAGCCATACATGCCTGCATAAATGATTAAAGAGAATATTGTACAAATATGTCGTTACATTTATGAATATAAGGGTTTGTCTTTCCAGATACAGATTTTGGAGACACTAATTCCTTTGGAGTTTCATCAGGAAGGGTGTCAGGGGTAAAAATCTGCCAAATCAAACAAGCCGCCCCACCCACTGTGGCGACCGCCTTGAATAAGGAAGCAGCCAAAAGTGGGTTTGTCCTGTATATGGAAATTTCTGGGACAACCAAAAAGGTGTTGGCCTTCAAAAGAAGCAAAATCACAAGGACTGTGATTTAAAACTGTTTTACTTAAGCATAAAATTCATTTTTGTTTGTAAAACAGCCAAAAATATCAGCAAAATGCTTAAACTTCTGTTCTGTCCACTAACAAATGAAGGCCTGTTATGAGTTAACGCAAGTAATTTTTTCAGTTCTGTTTTTGCTTGTTTAGCGAACTCGAGCTTTAACAGTATTGCACTGTAGACCTGCACCACTGAATTAAGAAAAAATATTATTTATGAACATTTTGTCTGTTTCAAGAATACGTGAATTCACCATAATGATGCTGTGCGTCTTACAACTGTGTTATTGAGCTTAATGAACAACTTCTGAGAAGGTCACTTCTTTGCAGGATCCTCAGTGGGTCATCTGGTGTTAAATTATGGGGCACAGAGGGTCGAAGTTTTATCGTGTGTCATCCATAGTGAAAATATATCCCTGCTGTTTGAATCAGATGAAATAGCTGAAGAGACTCTGCATCATTTGCTAAGAGATTCAGAATCACACCACAGCCTTTTTAAAACTTGTGGTGTGTTTCGGTTTTGCTTTTTAGGCTATGGGGACCAAATTCGTGTTTGTGCATGACCTTCAGCCACAGTGGTGGTTGTGTTTCAATATGAGTGTGTTTAAACCAGCGTGTTTGTGTGTGTGTCTCTTTCAACTGCTGCCATTAATGGTGAGGTGCAAAACACATCAAGTAAACTTCCTTATTCTTGAAAAGAGACTGTTTGCATGACAAACTGAGCTGCGTGTTGTTTTTACAGCTTCTTTACATAACACGGGTATATTTAGAGCGCCCATATATGGTGGTAGGGTTATTTTATTTAAATATGCTTCCTGTGAAGAAGAGTGAGAATTGTCCTCTCATCACTGTGTTTTTCTTCATTTAAGCATAAATTTTGACTTGTAGTTGAGTCGATTTGTGTTTGTATTTCATGTGTAAAGGTTTAAGAGGCTTTACAGGGGTGTACAATAGACAAAAGAAACAAGCATAGGAAAGCTAATTTAAAACGAAATCACACAGAAGTGATACAGTGCGCATACAGGCTGATATTGATAACACAAATGTTCTCTGTATCTGTAGTGTGTTCGATCACTAATGCGGCTGAACCTGCTGGTTAGTACCCCTCTGCAGCGGTACTATAAAAAGCACCATTTCCTGTTACCATCATAAACCAACAACACAAGTTAAACGGACAATTTTTTTTAAAAAGTGTCTCTTTATGGGTTTCTGGTAATCAGTAGAGTTTCCTTTCGTGACATTTTAGGTCAACTATTCCAGAGACTTGGGAAATAAACAAGAAAAGCTCCAACCCCAGTTTGTCTCTGAGGAATACAGGATGTCTTAGTTTGACAGGCACGTATGAGTGTGAGTTGTGACAAAAAGATAGTTGTGAAGCATTTTATATTTCTGACTATTTAATACTATTTAATATCTGTTTTAAAATCAGATACTTGAAGCCAGTGTCCTATAAGACTTGTTATTCCCCAGTTATTGGTTATTCACAGAGTCAAAGTAAAAAGAAAATCTCTGATTTCTTAAACTAGAGGGGTCGAGTTGAAGATGCACATGTGATGTTTTGTTTGTACAGAGGTGGGATTGTTAAGAGGAATATCCAGGTCTTGTTGAGTGTGTGATGTTTGGTTAATGTCTGTGTAGGTTCTCTGTCATCCAAGTCATGTTAGTCTAAGGAGCTTGGAAAGAAAGCGGCTGGATTTTTAAGCCTCTTGGATGAGAGATTAAATGTGCTTAAGAAAATGTAAAGTTACATTCATGTTAATGGGTGTAAACGCTGAAGCAGATGTAGGGGAATTTATTGCGTTTTAATTTTTTTCCTATTCTCCTGAATGTGTATGTTCGTTGACTCTCTGATCCTTTGTACCGTTAATTTTTTTTTAGAAAATGCGGAGCCGGCCGAGCTGAAGCAATTCTTCGACCTGAACTATTCTCATATCTACTATGTTTTCTTTGAGAATTTTGTCACCATTGAGGTCAGCCTCAAGCAAAAAGGTAAGTATTACAGGTGGTATAAAATGGTGGTTTAACAGGTATTGTAGGCATAAATAAATGATTCTTTGTTTTTCAGGTCATAAATCTCAGAGGGAAGAGCTGGACTCGATCCTCTTCATCTTTGAGGTATTTGAAACCTTACAGATTTTTAGATTATAAGTATTGTACAGTTTGATTTCATTGAGGATATGTCACATTTGCACTTGCACGTCGTTGCCAGAATCTTAAAGCTAACTGTTATATCTGGGATATTTTTTTCTACAACATTCAGTCCTACGAAGCTGACCTCAAAATGTCGGGGTTTGTTGGTAGAAATAAACAACAGGACAGAGTGTGGCTGCACGGTGGATCCCTGACATTTTGTTAAACCACAGAGGTGTTTGTGCTTCCAAACGCTCGGCCTCTCTGTTGGTGTTCTCGATGGATGCCATAACACTGGCTATCATTCCACTGAATAAAAGACACTGGCATGTGGTGGTGCTTAGTGTAGCCAGGATAAGATAGCTGTGTGTGTGTGTGTGTGTGTGTGTGTGTGTGTGTGTGTGTGTGTGTGTGTGTGTGTGTGTGTGTGTGTGTGTGTTACTGACCTCCGTTTGCCCCTCAACATATTTTCAATTCAGAGCAGGGCTGGGCAGAGCACATTTCCAGTGAGAATTAAGATAAAGGAAAATGCTTAATGCTGATTTTCTTGAAGAACTTTGGCCAAACAATAAACAGTTGATTGATTAGTTACATTGTGATATTAACTTTCAATAATACCATAAGAGTGCAACTATGTAATGAAAACATAGCAACAATTTTTCCATTATTGCATTGCATGAATGAGAAATTAACCGGCCAACCGGTGAATTCATCAATGAATGGGCAATATCAATAATATAGCAAGACTCACTCTTAACGTGAATCTCTTTTTCATTTATTTAGAAAATACTTCAGCTCCTACCCGAGAGAATCCAGAGCCGATGGCAGTTCCACAGCATTGGTAACTCACTTTTAACCAGTATTTTACACTGTGGCCACTCACACGGTTACTCCATATGTAATGTTGAATCTCAAACAGCCTCTCAAAGCATCTTAGTGCTTCTGGCAACTTCTTGAGTTCAAAGAGAGGTAAGAGTAGCTGTGCGCTGCAGGTGATGAAGCTGACATGCCTTTCTCTTTCAGGGCTGATTCTGAAGAAGCTGCTGCACACTGGGAACTCTCTGAAGGTACTGCTCAGTGATTCAGTGAAACTCCTTTAACTGTCAGTCATGGCTCTTGATCCAGAGTCCACAGGACTGGATACTCCTATGGACCTAGAATCTTTTTTGCAACGTTGCCTGAGTTCATTGAGTTTTGCTGGGCATTCATTTATGCATTCATTTATCCCCCCCCCCGTCCTCTCATTTTTTTTTTGTTTTTGTTATTGTAGATCCGCCGTGAAGGTGTGCGCTTGTTCCTGTTATGGATGCAGGCCTTACAGAGTAATGCAGAACGTGAGCAGCTCTGCATGTTTGCCTGTTTGATTCCTGGATTCCCGGCTCCGCTCTGCCACGGGACCCCACGGACCCTGGATACTCTAATCAACCCACCACTGAGTTTGACAGAGAGTTAGTTTTATCAACACACACTCTCAAACACAGTGCATTAGACTCATAGATACATTACTTCTTTTTTTTGCACCTCTAATATATTAAAGATATTTCGCAGCCTTTAATGTGATACCATACTCTGTTCTTTTCCTCTCTGCAGCTCAGGTGATTCCAGAAGAGATCACTCCACTTGTTCCTCCCCAGTCAGGTGATAAGAACCAGGAAGATCTCACTGCCTACTTCCTAGAAGCTCTACTGAAATACATGGTAAACCAGGTATTATCTTGATTCTTTACTAACACAGTTAACACAGCATAACTACACATGTTGCAGTGCCTTACTAATGCAACTCACGCTAAAAGCATGGGAGAAACCGAGTTTTGGGTGCATCACTCACTGATTTGGTTGTGGCCACATCTGACGGTGAATTAAGTATTGATCTAGTTCCTTACTGGAATCATTAACCCCTAAAATGCAAATTGCATCCCCTGTTGCTACACAGTAACTTGGCGCTTGTATTTCCTCTGCTTGCTGCCATCACACACTGATAACATTTTTCCCCAAAACAATGGTGCTCTTCTCTGCTTGACCCTATTCTGCTCTCCGTGCGACACAGGCTTGGTTGTCTGTCTGTCTAACTGTGTGTTTATGTTTCTATCAAACAGGCAAAGTCTCTAGAGTGGCGGTGTAAAGAGAACCATGAACGTGGCTTCAGTTTCCTCTTTGGTCATTTCAGGAAGTTCTACCTTCCTCACATCTTTCCCAACTTCTCCATGGAAACCAGCCTCTACAGCCCCATGCTGGGTTAGTACTACTAAGTCATTTAGATCGACTAAATAAGCTTATTTAACCAAAGAAACATTTATTTATTTGTGATGTGTACTGGGGAAAACAATGACCCTTCAATTTAGGCAAGAGGGAGCCAAATCTGGAGTGGAGTAATGATAAATGAACTCATGTTTTGGTCTTTCTAAACACTTAAAGCACTTTTATGGTACTAAAAGTGCTGCATTCACCAATTCACACACACATTACACCAATGGACATTCGGCATGGACTCCAGTTAATTAATGATCTGCTCTACCTACTAAAACTGAACAGGAGAAACATGAGCCCCTGAGACCTGGCTCATTATCATGGTGGAGCACCCAGCTGTCGTCGCATCGCCGTTTGAATAGTTTACAAACATTGCTGGACGTTACAGTAGAACTCTGCTCTGACAGTCTCACTTTGAAGGATGCTGTGTTGTAAGCACTGTCCTTTTCTGAGAAGACTGGTGTTTGTTCCACACTGTGCTGCTTTTATTAGCTATGCAACATGACTGTGTTGTGTTCACTTTGTGCACAACAAGAACAGACTCAAAACTCGGTGATCGTACCTCATAATTAATCCTGTGCCCCTTAAATATATATTCCTCTCTCCGTCATCCATAGATGTGCCTCCTATGCGTTCTAAGCCGTACTACAGTGTTGTGCGCAGAGAGCAGGACAGCGGCGAAACGCTGTATTGCACTAAGGAAAGTTTCCTTCAGGCTCGAGTTGTCTTTATCCGCTGGCTGGTTTCCTTCTGGCTCGAGCCACGACCCAACACACATACCCACATCCCAGGAACAGAGGGAGAGAATGTCCCCAAGAACATACAGGTAAGTATGAGCACATTATTATGCATCACTTGGTTCTTGTGTTTTAACTGCTCAATTTGCAGAAGCAAATGCGAAAGATTTTAAAATACCTCTGACCCTGTCTCTGCTTACCTTCAGCGAGCAGCAGCTGGATTTGCAGCTCGCTCCACAGGCAGCTCAGAGGACAGCGGTGGGGGAGGGATTCGATCTGACAGCCACCTTGAAGCAAGCGGAAGCTCAAGTGGGCGAGGAGGAGGAAGCATGGAGCTCTCCGGAGGTGCAGGGACTGAACCTGAACAGAGCCACTCGAACACATCTACACTGACAGAGAGAGAGCCCAGCTCCTCCTCACTCTGCTCCATGGATGAAGAGCAGCTGACAGACATGGAGGTGGTGAGAAGAGTGCTGACCAGCTCCAGAACCAACGTCAACTTCATCACAGAGATCTTTCGACAGGTTAAGGAAAAATGGTTATTTATCATAAAGTGAGAACAGTTTCCTTGTATCTTTCTTGACATGTTCATATTCCCGGTTGCTCCAGGCGTTTCTTCTTCCCATGTGCGAGGCAGCGGCAATGCGAAAGGTGGTCCGAGTTTACCAGGAGTGGATCTCCATGGAAGACAAACCAGTTTTCATGAAGGAGCCAGAGGAGGGCCCTTATCCTATAGTCACGGCCACAAGTATGGATACAGGCTCGCAATTCGGAGACAAAGATGATGAGGTGAGAAATTTTGTGAAATCAGTCATGTAATTAGCTGAAATACTCAGGTAAACGTTCTGTACATTAGCAGCCAACAAGTTTCAGTTCTCAAGACCAACTTGAGGTAAATAGAAGTGTTTATTTGTGTACTTTCTTTTTTTTAAGGGAATGAATAAAGTGATTGACAGTGAATTGTTGGAATACAGTGTTCATGCTGGAGTTCAAACTACACTACAGGTATGTTCTCACACACAAAAACTGCCAAACTTCCACAATCTTGGTGTTATTTCTTAAATATTTCTTGTGGTTTTGATTGCCTTTCTTTCGTCTCTGTCTCCTCTACAGGTGTTTATCACCCACTCCTCTAACGTTTTCCTGCTGGAACCAGCCAACGACATTAAGATCCTTTTGGAGGAGCATGTCGATATGTGCAAGCGAGTCCTGAACATCTACCGCAGCCTTGTCATGCATGAAACCATGGACCAGAAGACATGGTAAAAACACAAACAGCAGCGTAAAATGCCATCTAATTACATTTGTGTGCTCTCAACTACCTGCTGTTTCTGATTAAAGAAGAAGAACCGTTTAGCTTTAACGAGTGTTCCTGAATTTGTAGGGAGCAGATCTTGCTGATTTTGCTGAGGGTGACAGAGTCAGTAATGAAAAGGCCTCCATCCATCATGCCTCAGGGCAAGAAGAACAACACATTGTCGGGCAGATTAGCTGGACCCATCTTTCAGGTACGTTATAATAATGTCATGAAAATAAGGAGGCTCACTGGAAGGCCCGGCTACGCCGGCTCAGTCACTTCCACACACACAGCCACTCGGCTGGAGAGAGGCCTGGGGTTGGAGCTGGGGCAGGGTCAGGGAGGAAGCTGGGAACAGGGGGTTTAGGTAAGTTTGGCTCTGTGGCTGTTATCAGCCATAGAACAGGCGTACACGAGACATTAGCATCTGGGACTATAACGGATAGGAGTGGGACAGGGGGCACAGCAGGTCTGGAAACCCGGTCATCATCTAAAAGACTTCTATATTTCAATATTATATAATCATGTGTTTTAATATGTTACCACACTCTAGGGTTGCCAGCATGACTTATTTTACTTCATCCCTCTCTTTCTGTACAGACACTGATAGTAGCCTGGATTAAGGGCAACTTAAATGTCTACATAAGCAGAGAGCTGTGGGATGACCTCCTCTCTGTCCTCTCCTCCCTAACCTGCTGGGAGGAGCTGGTCACTGAATGGTCACTGACCATGGAGACGCTTACAAAGGTACTGAACAGGGACCACATATACCTCCGCTCTGCTATTAATATAACTAGATAAATTCAGTTCAACACTTATCCAAGTCCTCCAACTGTTACCACCTAAAACAGTGTGGTAAAAGGTTACAGCTTTGTTATGTCTCTGTGTCTTAGGTTTTGGCAAGGAACCTGTACAGTGTCGATCTGAATGAGCTGCCTCTCGACAAGCTCAGTGAACAAAAACAGAAGAAACATAAAGGAAAAGGTGAGTCACTTTTACCGACCTTCAAAAGACATTCCTGTGACTTCCTAAGAGCATATCTGGAACACAGCCGGCTGATTGTCACATCGCACTGCTGGAACCAAATGCAGCTCTGGAATATAAATTGATCTGTTCATGTATTATTTTTTGACTGCAAAAAACTGAGGTCACAGAAAAACTACTAGTAATTTGTAAATTTAGCAGATTTCTAGATATAAATAGCACACATGTTTTCAGCTCAGTTCACCGAGAAGTCATTCCTCTGTTCTTACAACAGGTATTGGTCCGGAGAGCCAGCGGCAGGTTGTCGATCGTTCCTTCTCTAAAGGCTGGAGCAGAGACCAACCAGGCCAGGCAGCCGCCATGAGACAGCGAAGCGCCACCACCGCTGGGTCACCAGGCATCGAAAAAGCCCGCAGTATTGTCCGGCAGAAGACTGTAGGTCAGTATGCCCTCTTCCTACAACTCTGCTCCCTTTGAATGTAAATGTTCATAGCACTGACTCCCAGAATTTGTCTATGCATACTTTGGAGAAATAAATGGTGCGCAACAAAGCCAAACTAGCATGCTGTCTTTCCTCAGTAGATTTTGGATACCGTCACGCTCTTCTCAAGTCAGTTTTGTTTGATTTAATGTCTCTCCTCTGCTTCCCTCCTCCTGCCCATCTGTCAGTCTGACAGGAAGCTGTGGCATATGCTCACTACCATTCCTCTCTGGAGTCATGTTTATGGAAAATCTTTAGCTGTGGCCATTAGTATGAAAGATGTAGTTACAGCAATGCTTGAATAGGTTTAGTATCAGCTGAGATGATGAATAAAACAAATCCGAAAATCAAGTTGGGACTTTAAAAATACATTCACAGCTCTAAATACCCCAATTAAAAATTGTAACTGTGATGCCAAAAATTTGAGTAGTACTATTAAATATTTGATAAAATATTTGACTCTTTTGGTAGAGAATTTTTTTTAACCTTGAAATCCATATATAATACTGTTTCCTCCTTTTTTAAGCTATATTACCAAAGATGTTTCAAACGTGAATACATGCAGCCAGCCGGTTTGAATAATCTCACTGTTATGCATTACGATAAAGACGGTTCTGCTCCAGTTGTGGTGACCTGTTGCAGAAAACAATTGTATTACTGTGAATGCCAGAGTAGATTGAAACTAACCACAACAAAGGACGTTCCTCCACACTCTGCAGGGATTGAAGGTTTGGTTCCAGAAGGGTCTCTACAACCGGATTAGTTTAGGATATTTTCTTGAATGTCAACATGATGATTCCCATTTTCATTTAATTTTATGTAGCGTTCCTGTTTGTCGTGGGCTTATGAAGAGACTTGAGCTGCAGAACTCCCACCAGCTCTCTCACTCTCTCACTCACCAACTTTCCTGCAAAACTAACCCTGTCTCACCCCTCCCTCACCTTCCCTTCCCGTCTCTGTCCCTCCATGCCCATCATGGAACCCACCTTTTCAATACCATCCTGTCACTTGTCTCTTGTTCCACTAATTTCCTCCAAGCTGTGTTTCTATGCTTTTGTCTTATTTACTAAACGTATTCACTTGCTCTCTCTTTCTATTATCTTCATTTTTTATGTACTCTTTTCCACTTCTCCTTCCTCACTCACCTCTTAACCTTTATCTATACTTTTTTCCTCTTTTTTGTATTTTTCCCTTTTCTGTCCCACACTCTTCCTCTCTTCTGTTTCTCTTCTTCCCACTTCCTCAGCCCTGCGTAGCTGTTCTACAGGGGATTCTCTGCTGTCCTCAGCCTTTATCCGGAGTGCTAAGAGTGCTCCTGCTCTGGCTCCACCTCTTCCTGTCCTCCTCCACCACCACCACCACCCTTTACTACCCCCCCTTGCCGACCAGCTGGCAGGTACACACTCTTTGCACTACCTGTCTGCCTGCCTGCTGCCTGCCTGCCTGGATTAGTCGTCTACACAGACTGAAACTCTGCCTGTTGTCTTGTCTCTGAATATTTCTCTTTTCTTGTTTGTTTGTTATCACTGGATCAACAGTTTTCATCCGCTCCATCAACAATCATTGACCCCATTCCCAGTTCAACTGCAACTTGGCTAATCTTAAAAGCTGTTGATCAGCAGTGCGCAAAATTTGCATGTTGCAAGTGTAGATCTCTGAATTCTTTTCATCATTTAACAAGCAAGTTGTTTCTCAAATACGGTCTTTGTTCAGTAAAATGTCAAAAGATGGCCTAAAATGATTATTTGCGAGATGCAAAAGGAGCATATTTTTGTAAAACTGAAAGATATTCCCAAATCATATAATACAAAATATTTATATGCAAGATCTTCCACTGGAAGAACAGAGGTGCTTAAAGGTCTTTTTTTTTTATTTTTTTTTTTTTTATCAGACTTAATGTTTTCAAGGAGGTATGCAGAGGTTTCTTTACATCTTTAAAGGAAGAATCACATTGTTAAGTTAAATTAAGAACTTTCTTTTTCTGTAAACAGTAAAAAAAAAAAAGGAGCCGATTGGGTCTTTCAGCTAATCGGCTGACAGATTATAGGTGGCGTAACATGAGCTACCTCTCTAGTGACTCTCCTTTTCTGATGTCTTGGGCTGCACTTGGCAGTGGTAGTGCTAGTTCTGGTTCTGCTCTGCAGATGGTGAGAATCCTTCGTCCACCTGCTGAAGTTTGTGGTTACAGAGGTTAGTGACAGCTCACAAAGCAGACAGCACAAGGACAGCCAGTGCAGCTGATTGATATTGAGGAGTACCACAGCAGTAACCTATCCAGGGAGCCAACTGAGAGAAGACTTGAGGGGAGTAGGGCAGAAACTGAACATTAAAGTAAGAGCAACCAATACATAGCCTTGTTTCTCAGATAGAAACAAACTCAAAAACAAAACACTGAAGTGCTGATATGCTTTGGCAGGTGTTAGTACATCTGGCAGTCACCCAGATGATCAAGTATGTTTGTTGGAATCACTCAACTGTGATTGTATTTGTAGGATGTGTTAAATAATCACCTCAATATATACAGATCAGGCGTAACATTGATTGCCTGCCTAATATTGTGTTGGTTCACCTTTTGCTGTCAACTCTTACCTGCAGGGGCACGCACTCTGTATTGTTGTGCTCCTCAAACCATTCCTGAACTATTTTTGCTTTGTGAAAGAGACCATAGCCATCAGGGAGTACTGTTTCCACAAAAGAGTGCATGGTCTGCAACAGTGCTTAGGTAGATGGTATGTATCCAAGTAAAATCCACATGGATGGCAGGCCCCAGAGTTTCCCAGCAGAAAATCGCCCAAAACATTACACTGCCACTGCTGGCTTGCCGTCTTCCCATAGTGCATCCTGGCGGTAGGTGTTCCCCAGGTAAACAACAGACAGGCGCACCCATCTATGCAATATAAAAGAAACCGGAGTCATCAGGCCAGGTCACCTTTCAGTGGTGGGCAGGGGTCAGCTTGGCCACCCTGACTGGTCTGCAGTTCTGTAGCCACACATAGAAGAAACTGTGATGCACTGTGTATTCTGTATTTAATGTATTCAGCATTGAATTTTTCATTGCTTTGAGCTACAGCGGTTCATCCATTGGATCAGTCAGTGTTATAATGTTATGCCTGATCAATGAATGTCTTCAGCAGCTTGCTAAAATGCTATTTTAAACACGCCTGCATATGTAAACTAGAACTAGTTTATATATGCATATTTATTATATAAATCGAATTCATTCTGGGCCAGCCAGTAGTGAACAAACATGTATGTCATTTTCAGTCTGTGTTCCAAACATTTCACTTAGACTTTAGATGTAAGTGGGATTTGCTTTTCTTGTTGTACACCTGTTTGCATGAAACTCGACATACCTGTTTTCTTTGTTATTTGCTTATCATCTTGCTTGCCTGCCTGCCTGCCCGCCCGCCTATTAACCTGCACCTTACTCTTATCTGCCTGCACACACATTTGTCTTCGAGGTCTTGCCATTAACTCTACATATTTGCATTTTTTTCTGCCTGTTATAAGTCACTTTATTTCTCTACCTTTCTTCTTGATCTTCCTTTCACCAATTTTTTTGGTGTAAAATTTCATATGATTTGCTTTATTCTTGCAGTGGCTTTTGCTCGGACAGCTCTCCTTTCTCTTTAGTATGAGAGGATGATGACTCGCATATCATTTTTTGTTGTTTTTAGTGTGTCTGTGTGTGGTGGTCACTAATGGATGGTTATTGTGCAAGAGAGAAAACCCACTGAAATAATTGTAAATGAAACTTAAGGGGAATTTCTGTGACATTAAACATGATGGTTGTACAACATAGCTTGCTCTTGCAAGTGCACAACAGCCAAACTGGGAAGCAGTCAGCTGTGTTGCTGCATTGTTGCAAGCGAAATGGTGTATAGTATAACACACAGGTGTTGAACTCCAGGCCTCAAGGGCCGGTGTCCTGCAGGTTTTAGATGTGTCCTTGATCCAACACAGCTGATTTAAATGGCTAAATTACCTCCTCAACATTTCTCAAAGTTCTCCAGAAGCCTGGTAATGAACTAATCATTGGATTCAGGTGTGTTGACCCAGGCTGATATCTAAAACCTGCAGGACACTGGCCCTCGAGGCCTGGAGTTCGACACCCCTGGTATAGCATATGAGGGGAAAGTGATTTTTACATAAATGATTTTGATCTTGTCCATCTTCTTTATCTTCTTAAAATCAAATTCCAGCTTCATATTCATGCCATCAAACTATTCTAGTTCAGAATTATCCTTATTTATCTTATTCTGGACCTTATTGCAATTCTAAGTTTGTCCTCTGTCTGAAGCAATATCTCTTAGCACGTAGGTTGGGCTTCTGTGCTCACAGGCAGAGCTATGTGCCTGAGATAGTCATATTAGGGAATTATCTACTCTCTTTAAAATCATCTTGAGCCAAACATAGAAAAAACTGTTCTGAAGCCAGACCTTTTGACTCGGGGAGTCTATTTGTTGATAGTTCGCAGTTTAAAACGTAATTAATAATAATATTTATTTAGATGTAACTACCAAACAGTCAGCATTCGGGCATTTATCCAATGTTTTTTTTTTTTTTTTTCTACTAAAACAAGGTAAAAAAGGTCATGGTTGGCACCAGTAGTAGCTTGATAAATAGCCATAGGATGTTTGCTATGAATACATTTTGTTTTTGTAAGCAACATCAGTGAGTACAATCTGATAAAGAACCAGACTTTAGATAACTTCTGCC